AGACAATGATAAAATGTTGAGAAAGGCTAGGCTAACAGTTCTTTCTAGTTATTTCATTTCCCGTGTGTCCAAATATATCTGTGGGTGTGATAGATATAGTTTTGCATGTGAATTGTCTATAAGAGTTCTTAGTAGGTTGAGGTCAACAGTCAATTTGTTACTGTTTTTCATTGCATTCATTAGATTCATAGAATTTGTTCATATGACTGTTTTTATTAATTTAATTTATTTAATTTTAGGGTGTTTGCCTTGCACGCAGCCAACATGGCCAACCCGAGTTTGATTCCTCCGCCCCTCTCGGAGAGCCTGGCAAGCTGCCGAGAGTATCTCGCCCGCACAGCAGAGCCTGGCAAGCTCCCTGTGACGTACTCGATATGCCAAACACAGTAACAACAAAGTCTCCAATGGAGACGTTACTGGGCCCGCTCGAACAAATCGACGAACAACGGGAGGGCCTTTCCCTTTCCCTTGTTTTTATTAATTTAATTTATGTATACATAGTCATACAAGGGAGTCTCTGACAGAATTTATGATGTGGTGGGATTAGTGCTATCACTCACACTATGATTCTTTGTGCTACTTTAAATAACATTTTTATTAAGGTACTATGACTTACAAAGTTATTCATAACTGAGTTTTAGGCATTGAGTGTTCTAACATCAATCTCGCCACCAGTGTCAACTTCCATGCACCAGTGTCTTCAGTTTCCCTCTCACGCCCCATTTTAAAGTTTGGCTGTTGTAGTTGTGCCTTGGGCCACATGTTTGGGTCTTAGACTAAAACAAAATCATCGAACTATCACTTAACACTGTCTATGGTTGGTAGAAGAAGGGGCGATTTATTGATAACCAATGAGAATTAAGTAACAATGAACCCTCACACAAGCACAGATTAAGGCTAAATCAAGAGCCGCTATCACATATTCAAGAGAGAGCACAAACAAATGCACAATTACTGAAACATTGTACATAAGAAAAAATAAAGACATAGGGTATGTTTTACTAGCCTATGACATATAGACAACAAGCCTTTAATATTTTAAACTATGCATAGCACCCATAAAGAAATTTGCAAGAAATTTTCCCCAAATAGTGTCATACCCCTTGATGTTGAGTGGAATGTCAGATAACCTTGTTGAGTCAAGAATATGCCAGCATGTATAATTAGATTATATTATAAAAAATTCAAAATTTTAGCTCCAGTTCAATGGTCAAATGTATACAGTTACAAATGATTACATGTTTAATCTCTTTCTCATTCTCTGTTTTCAGGAAGATAGAATAATTTTATATTATTTTAATATAAGGCTGTATAAAACATAACTAATAAGTCATATATAAAGTCATGCATTGTTAAACAAAGTATGATTAAAGATTATAACCAATTTATGACTCGTTTTCAGTGTGTGCTGTTTGAGTATTTTTCTGTGAGACTGCAATTTTCTCTCACTGTCACTTGAATTAAATGTCCTATTTCTGAGTGAAAAGACTGATTCCCTCTTTGAGATTTTGGATGAACAGGCAATAATTTTAGGCTCACATGTACTCACATTGGTTTACACAAGCCATGTACGAAGTTTTGTTTCTATTCTGTGTAAACAGCACTTGAATACACTTCACATGAATCCTTGGTTTAAACAAAAAGCAAAGTCAAGGATCATCAGCCTTCTTGGTGCTGTTAAGTTACTTTTTATACATATCCCCAACTCATTTTCACATCTCTTTCATCCTTATACTTTCTTTTGTCCTTTATGATTAAATATGCTTTTAAAGGTTAGCACCATTTTGGGGCAAAAGAGATAGTACAGTCGGTTGGGCTCTCGCCTGACATGCAGCCAACCCAGGTTTGGTTGCATCCCAAGTGGCCCCATGAGGCCTCCAGGAGTGCTCCCTGAGCACAGAGCCAGGAGTATACACTGAGCACAGAGCCAAGAGTGAACCATGAGCATAGAGCCAGGAGTATACACTGAGCACAGAGCCAGGAGTGAGCCCTGAGCATAGAGCCAAAACAACCAAACAAAACTTTCATGTCATTTATTCATTTGAAATGCCTTTTTCCTTAAACTGGACAAAAACTCACCAATTCAGATTTATTATTGAAACTAAAATATATACATCTATTAAATATACATTTAATATATTAAATATAATATTAATGTAAAATATTAATCCTATGCTTATATCTGAAAATATAGTCAAATACTCCTTACCCAGTTGCGGCAAAAATCATTCTAAGTCAATTTAGAGTGACAGTCCCACTATCTTCTCTAGTCTACCTCTTGGCAGAATCACCTAGAGTTGGTTGAGAATCTCCCTATTTTTATTTTTGCTTTTCTACTTCTATTTATTTATTTATTTTTGGGTTTTGGGGTCACACCTGGTGGTGTACAGGAGTTACTCCTATCTTTTGCACTCAGGAATTACTCCTGGCGGTGCTTGGGGATCATTTGGGATGCTGGGAATTGAACTTGGTTCAGTTGTGTGCAAGGCAAATGCCCGACCCGCTGTTCTATCGATTCAGCCCGAATTTCCCTGTTTTTAGATGATGTCCTCTCCACAGACACCACCTTGCCTTTGACACTTTACTGCTACTGTGAATACCCAGTAACCACTCTTTTCAGAGCTGAATTTGGTATCTTTCTTCTATTGAAGTAGTCCTGAGTGAATAAAGTCTTCATTACTTTAACAGAAAAAAATGTATATAGACCTATAGTATTTTTGCCAGGGCTGTCTTTAAAAAAATTATTTTCCCTAGCATTATGATACTTTCAATTGTGCCCCAAATTTCTAACTGCTAGAGCTGCCAGCCCGAATTATTGGGGTATTCAAATTTTCTTTGTAGCTTGATAAATGTGAAAGGGGTGTCCCCGCCCACTCCATAAACTATTACTGAGTTTAGAACACTTAATACATATTTTATAGCCCTTTAATTTCACTATAATATTCATGTGCTCTGTACATACTTGCTCTCTACCACTATCTGTCTTTCAAATAATGTTTGCACATTATTGTTTTATTTATTTATTGTGATTTTTTGGCATCTATACTCCTAAACTTTATTTATTTTATCTTTCATGTGAGAGCCTTACATCTGATTTAATATCTTTTTGTCTGAATAATTTTTTTTAGATTTCCTCACCATAATTTACAAAACTATCTATGAAAGAGTTTCAGTTTCAGGCATATGATATTTCAACACCAGTCCCACTGTCCCTTTCCTTCCACCAGAGTCCCCACCCACCCCCAACACTGTCCTGTTTCCTTGACTGACACATTTTAAAATTTAATTATTATGGTTTGGTGTTGGAGTACACAGAGCTTAGGTTTATCAGATTGTACCCATCACAGTGCTCCCGAGTCACTCCCATTACTTTGTCTGTCTGTGACCTCTTCTATGCTCTCTTCCCCAACCAATTTGTAAGGTCTCATCCTGCTTAGACACTGAAGCTGTACTGTAAGTTAATATTGTCTTTCTCCTCTCCTTATGTCTTTTGAGCAGTTTACCTTAATGCAATGTCCTTTTGTATAGATACAGGAAGACAATTAATTAATATGCTCGGTAACTTAGGAATTGATTGGCTTAGAATATTATTCACTCCTGGGCATCTGCCTTCTCAACTTAAGCCTCAGTTGCCCTCACTTCCTAGCACCCCAAGGGCAGGGTCCCGACGTGGGACTGGATGGAACCAGGGCAAGTCGGTAAGTTATGTGCTACCCTGGCATCGCGATGGGCCAGGCCAAGGTGCCACGATTCTTAACTATAAGTTAAGAGGTTGATCATAGGCATTATGTCATGATCCAATAGTAACGATGAGACTAGGGCCCTGCTGCTAGGAATAGGAAAGATATCTGGCCTGAGCACTGCAGTCTGAGATCGAGATGGCCCTAGGAGAGCAATTCTATAAGCTCAAAGTATTTCTTACTGTGTCCATACGAAATGATTAATATTATGTATGCTTATATGTTGTTTGGACAAGGAGAGGAGAAACACGTCCTAGAAGCAGTTTCCTGGGTGTCCTGACTAGCTTGGATGAGACTGCTTTTTTGGAGATGTAGATTCTAAGCTCTAGCAGACTGGTCTTTGTTGTGCTAATCTAAGTGCTTGTAGCTTGTGAAAAGGTGAGGCCAGGATTACTGGCCTGCGGATGTAAGGAAACAATGTATGTTTGCCGCCTAAATGTTCTTTCTGTAACTCCTTTTGATGACATCATTATATTGCGCCCTTTAGAGGTACTATGATCTATATAAGGGCGATTTCAGGGCTCTCTGGGGGGACACGTGCATCAGAGAACCTGGGAAGATGGGGCTGAGGACAGAAGCTGAGAGAACAAAGGCGCACGTGCTCGAGGATTCCTGAGGCCTCCATGACATACATCTCTTCCATGTAATAAACGGCTACTAAGACCAACTAGCTTGGCCTCGTTTCCTTCCTTCACCTGACCATCGCCTTCGACCTCCCTGGAGTGGGGAAACGGCCAGACCGCCGGCCTTTTTATTTTTTGTGTGTTTACACAGTTTGGGTTTCATGCTTACAGTCCCTGTGGTTTTAGAGATAGACATATACCACACCTCCACATTGCTGAATATATCTTATTACCCAACTTTAGATTTATAATTCCTTTCCCAAGCTTTTAGTTAAAATATGCTATTTGCTTTTAAGAGATATTTAATTGAAAATGTTTAGAAACTCTAGTTTCTCCAAGATCCATGGAGATTGATATTTACTTTTATTAAAAATAAGGTGTAGTAGCATCGATTTCCATAGATGTGAAACTGTTCCTCTAAAATGCTTACAAAATCAAATATTATCACAATGAAAAATTAAAAGTGAAAAAGAAATCTCTGCTTACATAAAAAAAATAATCATTTTGTTTTACTCAATCCTATAGTGCCCTTCACAGCATGGAAACACAAAACCTGACAGGAATGATACAATTTCTTCTTCTGAGATTTTCAGAAGAACAAGAATCACAACCCCTAATATTTGGGCTCTTCCTGTCCATGTACCTGATCACGGTGCTGGGGAAACTGCTCATCATCCTGGCCGTCAGCTCAGACCCCCACCTCCACACGCCCATGTACTTCTTCCTGTCCAACCTGTCCTTTGTGGACATCTGCTTCACCTCCACCACCGTCCCCAAGATGCTGGTAAACATCCAGGCACACAGCAAAGCCATCACCTATGAAGGCTGTATTACCCAGATGTATTTTTCCATATTTCTTGCAGGACTGGATAATTTCCTTTTAACTGTGATGGCCTATGACCGCTTTGTGGCCATCTGCCATCCCTTGCACTACACAGTTATCATGAAACCCCAGCTCTGTGGACTGCTGGTTCTAGTGTGCTGGATCACGAGTGTCCTGCATTCCTTGTTAGAAATCTTCATGGTGTTGCAACTGTCCTTCTGTAAAGAGGTGGAAATCCCTCATTTTTTCTGTGAACTCAATCAGGTGGTCCACCTTGCTTGTTCTGACACCTTCCTTAATGACTTGGTGATATACTTTTCAGCAGGAATTCTCGGGGGTGGTCCCCTTAGCGGGATCCTTTACTCCTACTCTAAGATCGTTTGCTCTGTACAGAGAATCTCCTCAGCTCAGGGGAAGTATAAAGCGTTTTCCACTTGTGCATCCCACCTCACAGTGGTCTCCTTATTTTATTGTTCTGCTATAGGGGTGTATGTGAGTTCTACCGGCACCCAAAAATCACAATCTATTTCTATAGCTTCCGTGATGTACACAGTAGTCACCCCCATGCTGAACCCCTTCATCTACAGTCTCCGGAACAAAGACATAAAAGGGGCTCTGAAAATTCTCACTGGGAAGAAAACAGCAAAAGTACCATTATCCTAGCACTGAGGAACAACCAATTATTTTAGGGACCAAATACTGAGAAACTGACCACATGATGCTTTTGGTCAAAGCATGGAATGGCTCTGTACTTTTACTTATTTCTAGATTTTCCATTGTTTTTATTTGACCTTTCATAGAAGTTATGCTTGGCATGTTTTATTAAGCTATCTGCTTTCTTTAGTATGAAAATGTTTTCTTGTCTACTCCACTCGCTCAAACTCATTACTAAATTGGGCGCTATATTTTGTGGTTCCCAATTACAACATGGTATGCGTTCATTTCTAGGGCAATTTCTTGGAAAGAACTGAGATTACACTAAACTAACTGGAAGAGGGTTAGAACTGTTTGGTCACCTGGTACAACTGTATTAAAGAACAAGATACAGATGATGACCAAGGAGTTTGTATAATTTTAACAATCTGAAAAATTTGCTGTGAATTTTCCCCTTTGTGTACAAAACATTCATTTGTGTAGCTGACTTAGTCATTGTCTATTGATATTGATATAATTGGAGTGTGACTGTTCCCTACTATTACTGTGTTTATGACAATCCCTCTTTGTAACTGTGTTTTTTGCTTCAAATATGTTTGGTGTCCTGATCACTGTATCTCTGTATCACTGTCATTCTATTGTTCATTGATTTCCTCGAGCAGGCACCAGTAACGTTTCCATTTGTCCTAGCCATGAGATTTTAACAAGTGCCACGTTTGAGGCTCCTTCAGGGTCAGGGGAATGAGACCCATCATTGTTTCTTGGTTTTGGCATATCGAATACACCACAAGGAGCTTGCCAGACTCTGCCATGTGGGCAGATACACTCGGTAGCCTGTCGGGTTCTCCAAGAGTGAGAACTACACAATAAGCGGTCACATGACCACAAATGCATGCTTCCAGGAGCTGGATTTTATAGTCCCTGGGTGTTGGCCATTGATGGGATAACATGGCGCCGGGGGCATTTGGTGGGTGTAATGCCTACATACTGGAAGATGGGGGATCTGGGTGGAGGAGGCCCAGTCTCAATCCGAGCAAGCTTGGAGATCTCAGCACACCTGGGTTCCTCTTCCAGTTCCTTCATGCATGAGGCTTATCCAAACGTGTGGAGAGTGGTCTTAAGCATGGCTGTGGCTGGTTCCAGAGGTCTTCACCTGCTGGAACTCTGCTTGGCACAGGGAGGGAAATTCAACCCGCCCCCCTCCAAGGGGCCTTGGTGAGGACAGCCAGGTGCGGGAGCAGGAGACTCTGTGGTGTTCTCTTCCAGGAGCTGGGTTTTATAGTCCCTGGGTCTTGGCCATTGATGAGATAATACGGTGCTTTGGGGCAGTTGGTGGGTGTAACGCCTACATACTGGAAGATGGGGGATCTGGGTGGAGAAGGCCCAGTCCTTATTTGAGCAGGCTTGGAGATCTCAGCCCTGGGTCCTGCACACCTGAATTCCTCTGCCAGTTCCTTCATGCGAGAGGCTCGTCCACCCTGATAGTTGGTGAAATATATTCATGAAGTCTATGTTATTGATGGATTTGACTCCTTTATCATTTTATATATCATGTTACAGTGTCTGTCTTTTATGACTGCCTACTTTTAAGCTTTATTTTTCCCGATAAGAACTTTATGGGGTGGGAGTGATAGTACTGTGGGTAGAGCATTTGCCTTGCATGTGGCTGACCTGGTTTGATCTCCGCCATCCCATAAAGTCTCCCAAGCACCTCCAGGAGTAATTCCTGAGTCAGGAGTAACGCCTGAGCATTGTTGGGTGTGATCCAAAAAGAAAAAAGGAGAATTTTATTAGCTTTGTTTGCATGGAATTTTCCCCCAAATGACTCATTTTTAGTGTTTCTGTGCTCTGCCTCCAGAAATAAATACACCTCTTGTAAGCAGTCTTTGTTTGGGTTTTGTGTTGTTCTTGCTTCCCCCCTCCACCTCCATCCTGCTCCCCCGCCCCAACAGAGTCAGCCTATGAATCACGATTGAATAATTTAATTATATTGCTTTTAAGGTGATTATTGATGGTTAAGAATTTATTTCAACTTCATTCTTTCCTGGGGCAGGAGCGATAGCACAGCAGATAGGGCGTTTGCCTTGCACACGACCGACCCAGGTTCGATTCCTCTGTCCCTCTTGGAGAGCTCGGCAAGCTACCGAGAGTATCCCGCCCACACGGCAGAGACTAGCAAGCTCCCCATGGCATACTCAATATGCCAAAAACAGTAACAACAAGTCTCACAATGGAGACGTTACTGGTGCCTGTTCGAGCAAATCAACGAACAACAGGAGAACAGTGTTACAGTGCATTCTTTCCTGATTTAGTGATTCTTAAAATTCTTTCCCTTTCCTTTTTCCTTCCCCTCCTCTTCCTGGTTCAGTGCTCATACCTCCTTCCTCAGACTGGGGAGGTTCTCAACTATTATCTCTTCTACCTGCCACTGTCTTTCTCACTTTTAGTTCCTCCTTTAATTCCTGTGATGTAGAGGTTGTTAATCTTGCTGTCCCACATATCCTTTAAGGTCTACTTAATTTTTTAAATACATTTTTTCCATCTATTTTTGAGATATGTACATTGTCCTTGAGTAACAGATTTGAGTCCTGCGGTTGAAGCTAACTATCCTGTAACTGTTCAACAACCATTCTCTTTAGTAACTTTTGTTACATCTGGATAAATTTTTATTTCTTTTTTTTGTGGGGGGGGATGCGGGTGGCCACACCTGGTGGTGCTCAGAGATTACTCCGGGCAGACTTTCCTAGGGGGTCCTGGGGATTGAATCTGGGTTGGCCATGTGCAACACAAATGCCTTACCCACTGCACTATCTGTCTACCCGTTGGATGCATTTTCCAAATGCCCTTCCCGCTGTACTATCACTCCGGCCCCAATAGGGTATGCACTGTAGCACTATCCTCCATTTGTTCATCGATTTGCTTGAGCAGGCCCAGTAACATCTCCATTGTGAGACTTGTTACTGTGTTTGGCATATCAGATACGTCATGGGTAGCTTGCCAGGCTTTGCCGTGCGGGCACGATACTCTCGGTAGCTTGCTGTGTAAACACACAAAAAATGGCGGGCAAAGGGACGACAGTGGCCTATCTCTCCCGCCGCCCGTGTTCAGTAGTCTCAGGCAGTTTCCCCACTCCAGGGAGGTCGATGGTGATAGTCAGGCGAAGGAAGGAAACGAGGGCTAAACTGGTTGGTTTTAGCAGCAGTTTATTACATGCAAGCAATGTATGTCATGGAGGCCTCGGGAGTCCTCAAGCACTTGCACCCCCAGAGAGCACCAAAAATCCCCTGATATAGATCATGGAACCTCTAAAGGGCGCAATATAGTGATGTCATCAAAAGGAGTTACAGAAAGAACACTGAGGTGGCAAACCATACATTGTTTCTTTACATCCACATTGTTTCTTTACATCTGCAGGCCAGTAATCCTGGCCTCACCTTTTACAAGCTACAAGCACTTGGATTAGCACATCAAAGACCAGTCTGCTAGAGCTTGGAGTCTACATCTCAAAGATCAGCCTGCCTGGAGCCAGGCATCTACATCTCAAAGATCAGGCCTGGTTTAGCTCCTGGGATCTGCATACCTAAGACCAGCTAGGTTCCTGTGAGATAAGGGAAACTGCCTCAATATACTGAAATAATTTACTGAAGGCAGTTTGAAGGGGAGAAAGGATCACTCTCATCCAAGCTAGTCAGGACACCCAGGAAAACTGCTTCTAGGACAGATTCTCATTTAGATCAACCCACCCTAGAACAGATTTCCCTGGATGTTCAGATTTCTCCTCTCCTTGTCTGACAAACATATAAGCATACATAATATAAATCATTTTGTATGGACACAGTAAGAAATACTTTGAGCTTATAGAATTGCTCTCCTAGGGCCATCTCGATCTCAGACTGCAGTGCTCAGGCCAGATATCTTTCCTATTCCTAGTGGCAGGGTCCTAGTTTCGTCATTACTTTTGGATCATGACAGCATTTGCCTATGATCAAACTCTTAACCTATAGTTAAGAATCGTGGCACCTTGGCCTGGCCCATCGCGATGCCAGGGTAGCACATAACTTACCAGCTTGCCCTGGTTCCATCCAGTCCCACGTCAGACCCTGCCCTTGGGGTATTAGGAAGTGAGGGAAACTGAGGCTTAAGTTGAGAAAGCAGATGCCAGGGAGTGAATAATATTCAAATCCAATTAAATTCTAAGTTATAAAGCATAATATTAATTGTCTTCCTGTATCTATACAAAAAGGCCATTGTATTAAAGTAAACTATTCAAAAGACATAAGGAGAGGAGAAAGGAATATTAACTTACAGTACAGCTTCAGTGTCTAAGAAGGATGAGACCTTACAAATTGGTTGGAGAAAAGAGCACAAAGTAGTTACAGACAAACAAAGTAATGGGAATGACTCGGGAGCATTGTGATGGGTGCAGCCTGATAAACCTAAGCTCCTTGTGTTAGGACGCGGATTGTGATCTCCCTTTAACGACAAAGAGACTCCAGGGACTGCAAACAGCAAGCAAGGTTTATTATAAGACTGGCTAGCCAGGGTCGAGCTGCCTACACAGACACGCAGGTCAGATAGGTGAGGCAAGACCCCGAACTTCTTCAAAGGGGATCTTATATAGGCCTTCACTGGCCGGTACAGCAAAAAGCCTGCGCATTTCATAGCCAATAGATTTGTAACAACACATACCTTCTTAACCAATCCATTTAAAAGTACATCACTCCTTAGCCTATAGATTCAAAGATCAGCATTTACGTACATAGGCATTGTGGCTAGTGGGCATCTGGTAACTCGAACATTTGGTTATCACCTGGCTCCCTTTGATTTGGTGGAAGAGGATAAGGAAAAAGTTCCTAACAGAGGTAACAGATAAGGAAGGACCAACAAATGGTTTCAGAATTTACATCCCAATAAGGAAGGGCTTCACAGCTAAGACTCTACTAGGGAGGAGGCAGGAAAGGGAGAGTTACTAATTAGTAGAGTTTTAACTCTGGAATCTCCCTTGGGGT